CCGACGTAGTCCTAGCACCCACCTCTGCCGCTGGCATCCCCATTCCATCTGGATTTACGACGAGAATTTTTTGGCATTGTCATGAGAAAAGAAGGCGACGCGGAACTCGAGTTCTACACCTGTTGCCTCCCTATACGCATCCTAGAGGCCTCCTCCATCCTGGGGGTCTCATTCTTAAATCTACTTAAATAGACCTTTCAAACGATACACATATATCAAAAGGGTTTGGGCTTATTATACGTTAATTGGTAATTACCGTCTTGAATCATCCGGAGCTTAAACTTGGTAATTGGATGAGATAGACCATAAGTTGTACAAATATTTTGACTCAGCAGTTTGAGATCTATCCAATGACAAATATCAATCAAGATCAAATGGACCCAAAAATAGTATCCTCCTTTCAAACCGAGAACGATCATCACATGTTTAATCAGTTCTTTCGGCCGTAGTAGTTCTATCGATAAGATTTCGTGCAGTACCATCCATATATATTTTTCGAACATGATATAACAAGAAGAAAGAAGTTCCACAGCCCACGAATGCTGGTATCCCGGATTCCAGTCTATTTTCGATGCAGTTACCCAACGGAATTACTTTTCCTAGATAAGCCGAAGCAGGATATGGCACTCCAACGCTACTGTAGGTGGGCATAGGAAGAACAACAACAATAAAGCGAGAGTGGATTGAGGTACTTGATGCACAACTATGACAGGGAGATGAGGAAGCCTTTTCCCGCGGAGCGTAGCTTATCTCTCCAGATGCTTCCTATTTCATCTGAGATCGTATTGTCACGTGTTAAACATTATCGATTCGCTTCCATTAATTTAACAGAATGTATTCTAAATGGTTGACGATCTCGTATCTTAATGATATTGTGACGAAATGAGCAATTTCAAGATGATGGTTCGATACGATATGGAATGGCTGTTGATTAAAGAGTGAGGTGATGGAATGACCGTGCTTAAAGCGTCAGTGACTAATAGCTCGTGTTAGATGACAGGACATCGAAATTCTCATCGTGGAATGATTTTTTACGTCATGGAAGCGCGCTCGGAAGGACTGTCGTCTGCTGCAGTCGTACCATAGCACTACCGTGAAGCTGTAGCCAAGACCGATTTCGCCCGACTCGAAATCACCTTCATGGTATATGACGTCACGATAAGTTCGAGTGATCGTTCACTACGCACTGGTATCATCCGTGACTTGCGTGTCGTCGCCCTCGACGTAAGTTCTCGTGACTGACGGAGGCTATGGGACTTGGAGAGGTTTTAGGATTACTATTTCAGGAAGTCATCAACGACCGAAATCCATTTCGCCCCCGCCATGGACCATCTCGGAGTGGACTCGCGCGGAAAGTTTCCTCACTAATTGCGTGAAATCCGACGACGTTCGCCTTCGCCTTCACTTTCCATGCCGATCTGATTATGACGTCCTCTCGAATCGGAACGTTCCGATCGAGTGAACGAGCACACGATGATGGATTCAAGTAGATCGATCCAGTGACGTCGGGGTGTTGGTGCCGAACGATGACGAGGCCTCGAAATTCCTTGTAACCACTATACGACTAGCGTCTTTGGCTTAAATAATAGTGTGGATTCACATTGTGGAACGAGGCCAAGGAGGCCGGGGGATCAATTTAGATATAGATCAATTTAATGTAAATATGACGAGATATCGATAAGATATTAAAGAATAAACCACATGAAAAAGGGAGGTCGGGGAAGGTACATAACATAGGGATTGGGAATGAATGGAGGATGAATGGAGGATGAAGAGCTCTTCATGATGGGAATCGTGGAATGTGATGTCTCTTAAGGGAGGTATCACATCCATTTCCTTCCCACCCATTCTTTGTTCCTTGCGAAGTAATCGACGAGGATCACAGACAAGGATCACACGGTGCTTCTAGCGGAAAATCACGGGATCAAAGACGCGTTTCCAGGATTTGGAGGGGAGCGGGAAGATGAAAGACTTCTACGTTTCAATTATTTCGCCCATACGAAGCGATTATCGAAAATAGGCGTAAAGGAATTCAGAGGAAAATCTGGGAGATTGTACATCTCCGAAGCTCGTTTCCTAGCGCGAAGGCATACGGTAGAGAAACGGTGCACGAAATTCCCAAAACTCTCGTTTTCGAGGGCGTTTTAGCGATGCTGCCGGGAGAAATGATATTGCGGGCCTAGCATTCAAAATTTTTTCGAACGGAGAACCAAGTTTTGATCTACCGATAAGCGTTGGAAAGTTCGAAACTCTGCCTCACGATAGCATTGAAGGCATGGATGCGTGCACGCGAACCTTAAGAGCAGCGGAGAAGGGGGTCTTGCTAGCTACGTTTAAGAGAAGGCAAACATGCATATGGGGTGGCAAAAACCAGGATCAGGATCTTCATTACGCTACAATGTTGAACTCGATATTCTTCCTCAAAGGATACTTTCTTGACGAAATTCCTCCAGGAATAAGTAATATGAAAGTATTCCTGGATTACACTCGTGTTGGAGCAATGCAGTCTCCTAGCTCCTCCTGCCCTCAGTTGATGACGAAGCAAAAATTGAGAATAGCTGGGAAGACTCACGGCACCCTTCTCGGCCCCTCCCAGCGACACTCGAGTTGAGAACTGGTCCTTTAGACCGAGTGCAAACAGAAACTTAGGATGAGGTAGCGATGACGGGCTCCATGTCACGCTCGGCTCCTCTTTTCGTTCCACCGATTGGATCCTCTTGATGCCCTGAATGCATGCAAATGCATGGACGCTCTCTTGCATCGGCGATGCACGCGTATCACAGCTCTTTTCTAAGGGGGAAAAGAAAGAAAAACGAATGCGTGTCGAGGTTCGGAATCGGACGCGACTCGTCTCGAACCATAAACGTACCGTATTCCTGCGGATGCACAAGGGAATGCACGCATACGCGCGTCGCTTTCAGTTCGAACGTACACGAGCTCGTGCAGACGCGCATGTCGCATGCATCACGAAATCGTACGCGTCTCGCGCAAGAGACGAAGTGTGAAATGACCCGAAAGTTCGATCCTGTTCTCAAGTCTCCGAACGAGCAACTTGTTTCCACGTTCTCGGGGAATCAGAACGAGTACACTGCCCGTTCTGAGGCCAGTTCGCCGTACTTCAGTCGAGCGGCCCGCATTTCTCGGCACGAATCGCATAAAAAAGAATAGACGGAGTGGATGAAAGGTAGCCGGGTGGCAAGCCTATCTTCGTGCCCGTGCGGCATCTTCACCTGCTCTTTGCTCGAGAGTAAGGGAAATCCAAGACGCTCTTGCTCACGGGCACCATAGACATAACGATAGGGTATGATTCCTTTGCGATCCGGGCAGAGACATTCAGACTGCAGGCCCCCGTGAAGGGGGGATTTTCGTTCTGATTATTCAAGAATGTAAAAAGACTCATTCGGAAGCTCTTGGGCTCCGGTCTAGCCTAACTCTCGAATGTTCGTCCTCGTTGCATAATAATTTGATAAGGTTTCATTATCATAGACCCGAACGCCCATAGGTCTGGACTTAAAGATCCGAGAGGCCTAACTGTGATATGGGCTTGCCATACGCTCGCTGTTATCACGAAAGGACGAGAAGCCAACTGATGGAATGGGTGGAGAGGCCATTCTCGACCGCCATCACTGATGCAACACGGAGCCCGTCAATCATTAAGTCTATCTGTTTCCTCTCATCTACAGTGCTTTTGCGGTGAGTCCACAGACCCCCAATAAAGAGCACTGGTGGTACCTGTGCTTCGATTCCAGAGACATCTACCGAAAACCAGGCCACGTCACACCCGAGTCAGGAGGAAACAGTGTTTTTCACTCGAGTAAGACATTTTTTCATTCGACTTCGACGCCTATGCAGTGAAATCGTCCCACGTGCGAGTGTCCGCGTCGAGTGAAAAATTGTGACTCGAGTGGAAAACATCGAAGTTCCGCTGGTGTCGGCAGGCCGATAGAGAGCAAGGGTTTGCATTGAACTCATCGCGAAAGCACTACCTTATTCTCGAGATCGCTGTTGTGCCACCTACATTCGTGACGTAGAAATGCTCGTGGAAGCGTCTGCACTTCCCCCTACGAATCGCGATCGAGGACTGCTCGAGGGTTCCGCTGCCCTCTAGAAGATTGAACCTTCCCCCTCGTCATGAAATCTCGCCCTAATGGGATCAGGCGTATCCGACTCTCTAGGGATGACCGGGCGGGACGGAAATGTTTCCTCTTCCGTGGAGGAGACGGGTCGTACTCATAAAGGAAGAAAGTAGGGTGCATGAGAGAATTGATAACCTTCGCGTGGATGGACGGGTGTGACAGCTCCATTATCCTCTCCTTTCTTCTGTTTTTTCTTCTCTAAGATCGAAAAACGAAGCCATCCCTCCCGCCGAGATCCAAATCTCATCGAGTTTAGTCTTTCAAGGTTCTCTCTACCTTGAAGATACCCTTTACCGATCTTTTGAGAGTTATTCACACGGGAAAGGTTACAGAATGTTGCCAAATCCATCTTTTTATGATCGGGGATACATTACATTCATGCAATTTCCTTTAGCAACAGTTTAAGTAAACCACTTTAAAGCTTATATACTCCTCTTTCGGATGCAGCAAACAGCATTAAAATATATGCAGTGAGTGTAGTGCAGGGTATCGTTAAAAACTGTCTGTTATTTTTGGCCCACCCTGTATTTGCATCACGTGTTCATTCGACACTAGCACATAGCGAGAGTGAATGTGGGAGATAACAACTTTGGGATCCAACAATATGGACCACCATTTGCCTATTCCTCTATGTATTCTTTCCAGAAACTACGCAAATAAAAATTAATCGCATGATCGTGCTCTCTCAATTTTTCCGACGGAGAGCAATAACAGGAGTGCGAGACATCTTTCGTTCCCTTCTTTGCCTATGTAAATAGTAGTAGATCCTCACTGCAAATAGGAAGAAAAGAAAGTTCTTGCGCTCTCCATTCGGAATCCCCACGAAAGACTGAGGCGTTTTTTTCGGTCGATCCCTCCTTCCAGCGATGCCGATGGAGCTGTTCACCTTGTGGCAACAATACCCTTGGATCTTCGGCGAACGGATGTGCCGCGTCCGAGGAGTCGTGACGGAGACTCCCGGCTACGCCTCCATCCTCACCATCGTCGCCTTCACCATCGAACGGTTCCTCGCCATCTGCCATCCGATGAACATGAACAGCCACGTCAAGCATAAACTCGCCCGCGCCGCCAAGGTCATCTTCTCCATCTGGGTCGTCAGTTTTCTCTCTGCGATCCCTTGGGGAATCCTTTTCACCGTGAGTCCTCCGCGATACTTCTTCCAGGCAAGGCTGGGTAACGAAACGGAAACGAAATGAGAGACGAAAGAAAAATGTGATCTTGATGACGCTATCGACGACAAAGAGCGAATCCATTCTGAGACCTGATTTCCGGGATTAAGCATTTCCACTTGCAATCTCACCAGAAGGACCAGGAATACAAGAAACGAAATCGGTAACGTAGTTGTAACATAATAGAAACGGTAACTAAATACTCGGGGTTTCCTTAAATACGAAAGGAAAATAATCAATACGAAAGGAAAATAATCTCGTTACACAGCCCCGCTTCCACGCGTCATTCGCGATGCCAGTCGCATGCAGTGTGTTCGTTTCATGGCAGAATTGTAGATGAATTTAGCAGTCACATGATTGCGCCCTGTATCATTCCTAGATCATACAACCTAAGGCATCAGTACACCTATTACGGTGACGGTTGTCAGCTCGTTCTTTGAACTTGTTTTATCACCGGTACCAAAGTCTAAAAACAGAGCTTATACTTATACTTGAGAACGTGTGGCTAAGCTAAATGATCGAGAGTACCACGTAACCAGACTATTCAAGTATTCGAGCGTTTGCAAACACATGACGTGGGTTAAGATTGAGAACCTTTCATCATCCATCACGTATCGTATTTCGAGAATAAGAATCCCAAGACGACTCATTTTTTTCCAATGATGGCGTCGAATGACCATCGCAGGCAGTAATCCTCAATCACTCGTGAAAAGAGATTGGATCGTTTTTTCCTTCTCTTTTCAGAATGCTTACGTAGAACCACACTTGCAATGACTCGTGACGATCGAGACAAAGACCTCACATCTTTTGATATCGTCACGGAATGCGATCTCTTCCTGTTAGACCACCACTGGAGGCACGTTTAAATTTCCATGAAGTTAGGCAGTTTTGTTGTTCTGACATGTTGTTCTGACTGTCATATTGTACAAATGAAGTCTACCTCCGTGATCGAGTAAAAAAAAAGTAGTCTTCATGCGCAACATCCTTGAACTGCATAGGTGATGATGGGCTATTCCACTTAATCGGAGCCATCCGATCCAAGGTCCTCCGAGCTCATCCGATCGAACCCATCCCGCATACTGTCAGAGTGGAGAGTCTGAGCAAGTGTTTCCTAGCCAATACACTCTTAACTTGTTACTCTGAAAATGGGGTAACAGAATCTTGTAATTTGTTTGAGAACTTATCCTCATTGGATGCCTCATTGTCACCTTTTAGCGTTTATTTTTCAATGTTTGAACCTTACTTTTAAAAAATACGTAACTACACAAGTACATTTTCCTTTCGTTGGAAGACTTGAGGTACAACATCTCTGGGGGCAAATTTCCAATGAACTGGATAGTGATGTTGATGTTACTCTTGATGTAACAATTCTCGGAAATGTTGATGAAGTTCAGGACATAATATTCATTTTAACAAACAAGCCAGGACATAGGAAAATTTTTCATTCCAAACATTTTATATGCAGTTTTCCACTATGTTACTCCGTAGGTTACTCCTATTCAAAAGCAAAAAATTACAAGATTTTGTTATTCCATTTTCAGAGTAACAAAGCTAAGAGTGTATGACGTCATCGACATTCGAGGAAAAATATATTCCAAGAGGAGGATTCGGTGTCGAGGGTAAAGAAAGGACTCGTCGGGGATCAGAGGCACGCGTTCAAGAAGCGCGAGTCAGGACGCGAGACGTCAAAGTTCTTGCCGTAAATGCCTTAAACTCATGCGTAAAAAGTTCGTGAGAGTAGGATAGTTTGGGGTCAGTTGTAACGTATTTTTGGATTTATGTCCGTAACGATCAGAGATTGCGATGAATCGATGCGTTCGCCGGCATAAGACATTGTCAACTTCTCTGGTCAATCGATACGACGCAAGTTTCTCTCTCAGTTTCTTCATACTTCATGCAACAATGACGTAACGTTGCACGGGGCGACTGCAACAAGCACTAAGGTATGCTCCTGGGTCATACAACATTATTTCGCACTTACACCAGCTTCAAATCCCACCTGGCTCGTTCAAACTCATCGAGGTTCCTATCAGATACCAATAGTATTAAATTATATTTAGAATTTCGAAAGTTTAACAGAACATGATGAAAAACATTCTGATCGTATTATTCCCCCTCTGCGAACATCATGGGCCGCTATTAATGAACGCTAAATCAAAATGCAAGTGTTCATGCGCTAATATTTTCGAAAACCTGGGACCGATGGCATACCGGGGGGAACTGTACCATGCTACCTCGTACAACCGTTCCCGAGCGAGCGGCCATTACTCAAGATCACTCCACCTGAACACGCGAAGACCTAAATGAACAGTTTTGGTAGCAATATGGACTCCCAGACTCCCAAACGTCCATGAGCTGATGCGCGTTGTACACTGTTCACTCGGGTAACACAGTCCTGAAACGCGAAAAAAGGTCTCGCACAAAAACAAACAAGCGTTAGCTGATAGTGCAACTGACGATGAAAAAGAAAGAGGCTATAGGAGGGCGGCACTGCACTTCGTTAGTTATGCTTCTCAGAGTTGGCGCGCTATTCAAAAGGCGATGTTTTCGTCCGTAGCCTATTAAAACCGACCCTGAGCTCCCCATCGATGCCGAGAGTCTCAGGGGCTTAGGTCTGCACGATGTATCGCTATTCGAAATAAAATCGCGAAATGAAGTTGGGGCGATATTGATATCGTCCAGGTGCACGCAAATCGATATCATCGTCGACGATGTCTATATGGATATCATCACGACATCGCTGCCTTCTTCGGGTGGGGATTATTCGTTTGGAGACGGAGATTTCGCATCGTTTAGGGAAATCTAGGGAGACAAATCACCCTTTCTCTCCGGTTTTGACCGCGGGAAAGTTCACGCATAGAAAGACCAGTAATGATTGAATTCAGTGATGATACGATCGTCTTGCTCATCGTATGTGACACCTCCCTTGTTTCTCTGTCGACTTTGTCAAATAAAGAGGAGGGGAAGGGGGAGGCAGCCAAAGCTGCGTCCATTCGTCAACTTCATTTCGAAGTGAACGAGTTCACATGTCATCTGTGCTTTCTACAGGGTGTTCCATAAATCCCTTGGCCCCCCCCCCCCCTCTTTTTCTCTTGCAGAATAGTGACAGAAAAATAATACATATACAATTTTAAACTAAATTCATTTTGACATTTAATAACCCTCACTCGAGAAACTGGGTATCATTTAGAGAGCAAAGAGATCAGTATTAACGTCATCGTTCTCTGAACGCAGAATGATGCGGCGCCTGGTGTGATGAGAAATTGGATGGAGGATTCTTGCCAAATCGAGCTCGAAAGTCGTCAAACATATTTTCCATGATTTTCCACTTTGTTGGCGCTCATGCACCCAAACACTCATAATTAAACTCTCTTCTAACGTAAAAGGGCTTTGGTGATCCATATCTGCATAAATCCTAACCCTAATTCACCTGGAACAAGAAAAAAGGGTATACCGAAAAAAAAGGGACCTGTGGAACACTGTACTTTCAGTAAAAATCTGGTATCGGATGACGGAATCGAATGAAAAATTGGTGCATCCTCCCTGTTATATACATGGGGCTGGTCTGTTCGTGTTAGCTGCAAACACATCAAGAAGAAACATAACGATCGAAAATCTAATATGAAGATATTGCGTAGTGATGTTCGGCACTGGAAAAGAAAAAGGAGCATTGACGAAAACATTATCTCACTCCCCTCCTCCTCATTGCAGCCTGCTAGTACATCCTGTTGATGGTGATAGGAGAGAGAAGAAAAGGAAAAACCCGATTTCCAAGATAATAGAAACATCGCGACACCCCCTTGCCTCTCTCCAGCAGCGATAAAATCGAATAGAGTCGGAAGAGAGAGGAGGAAATGCGACGGGTCAGGGTTTCCAAGGCGCCAACGCCGCTTGGTGTTTTCCCCCTATTCAACATCCCCATATCCCCCCATTCAAAGATAAAATCTATGTATTGCGATGCTGCTAGATGACGATACGATATTGTTCTGAGACAAATGTGGTGCAGTCCTAGGGAATATCTACGCCCGTCCTTGCTTCCCTCTCCCTCTTCCCCGAATTCCCCTTAAACCGAATTATGCCTGGTCCAGAGTCATTTCCTTTAGGTCTAATGTAGCTCTCCAAAAGAAAAAGCGATGGAGGCCATAGTGTGCCTTCGCCCGCTCGGATCTCGAGCCCCAAATCTATACAGCGCCTCCGGTGCTCCATTATTTCATTCATTCCCTGTGTCCTGGAGCCATATTCATGAAACCTTTGCAATCTTACGAAGTGCGTGACTGTAATAGGATTCGGAGCCAATCATAACTGGCCGAGGCAGCCGGCAAGCCAATAGCACCATGAGAAGCAATGTGGCTATCATCGGCACCGTCGCACATTCCCCCATATCTTCTTTCTTTCCGGCCAGCTGCAAACTTGCAACAAAATTCATGCTCTTTGCTCTTACTGAAGCAAAAAAAGCTTAAAAAACGTACGAATCGGGGAACTCCGTGTAATCTGGCAACGATATTAATTCACATCAGATCGACAATATTGACTGCTTTTATATTGAAAGAGTGCAATACCTTTCACTTTAAGAGATTCATCTTCCGAGGGAGTAGGATGACAAAGGAGCAGTCAATGGCTTAAATCACTTTGGGGTGACTTGACATGTTATGAAATGAATCTTGCACCTTGCGCCAAACGGAAAGTGCATTCAACTTCTTGAATACACACGAGCGAATGCATCGTACATCAGAAACACTCGAGATGCTGTCGGTTTACTGAATCCACTCAACGAGACGAAGATTTCGTTGCCTAAGAAATAAGGAATTCACGAACATTATGCGGAGGTGAAATCTGGAATGCAAAAAGTATGCAGTATACCTTCTGGATAACGCAATAGATCCTCGGTGATTACAGTGATTTCAAGAATGATTAGTCTCGATTGATTTTGATTTTCCAGCTCTTGGAGTGGGTCATCTCCAACTTCC